TCCTTATGTTTTTACTATTGTATTTATTGCATTTTCATTTATGTAGTCAATGAATAATTGTGTTTAGCAATTTATATATCGTTTGAGAGAATATTGTGCATTTTAGACTAAATAGTAAAAACCCTAGGTTTGTGTAGGTGATAAAGATATACCCATATCACTAGGTAACCCATTGAGTTATTTTCACAAAGATTTAATGCGGTTGTTTGGCTTTTATTGACATAGAGATATAGTGGTTTAAACCAACCATTTAGAGTTAATTTTGCTCAAGAAACTAACTAAAACTGAAAGATTGGGTCTAACATAATAAATGAGTAATTCGTTAATTGACTCATGGATAAATTAATTAGGTGACAGTTAAATGAAACCATGAATCCCCACCATGTTTTTTTCCGAAATATCCAAAATTTTTATATTCTCTTATTTTGTAGATTTCTAGTTCTTTTTCAAAACCGTAATTTTATTGTGTGTTTATTTTTATTATTAGAATTAGATTGATTAAGGTTGTGTAATCGAAAGTAAACATTCTTCGAGGAATCGACAATCCGGACTCAAAAAGTTCACTTTATTACTTGAACGAAACTCGTACACTTGAAGTGTAGTACTTAGCAAACAATATGCATAACATATTTCATTCTAAATATTTTATAATAATCATTTCATAAATTCAAACTTAAATAATTCATAAATCATACTTGAAAGTTAAATGAAAAATAACATTTTATTCCATTACTTGGGCTCGCCAAATGGTAGTTGATTGCGAGTGTTATCTGTCATGATTTAGATAAAATCTCATAATATATGGAACCATTAAGAAACATGTAGACACTTAATCCCTTGTATACCTTTATATAAAAATTCAAACAATGGTGCGATTCATAGCCTGAAGAGAAAAATCTGTTTCCGAATATATAGCAAAAGTGGTAACTTCGTAAATAAACTTCATAAAACTAAAAAGTTAAAACATCCGAATGTTATGCAATGTATAATCTATATCCACCTGGAACATGGAGACCTAAAAGTAGAATAACAGTATATCTTGCTTAATATTGGAAGTTAACCAAAATAAAATTCACTACTTAATAGCTAAAACTTTAATTTAATTAACCCACTTCTTAACGATTAAAAGGAAAGGACAATTTATTGTTAATCAATTAAGTATACAGTGATTCCGCTTACAACTTGCATGTTGCAAATCAACATATAATAAGCAGTTAAAATAAACACACTTAACAGAAGTACATTAAAGGGGCCATTTCACAAATACCGACTCAATTAATAATATAATGAATATAATAAATATGTCATCAATACTATGAGTAAAATTATCATTTCACATTACTATGAGCTGAAATCATTATTCTTTAAATTGAATAAATTAAATTCTGTAATCTAAAATTTGATGAGCTTCATAATACTGAAAAATCACATCAAAAAGTTACTCCAAATAACTATACTCATGTATCGATTAATACGATATACATAGCAAAGCTATTAAATTTTGTAATTCTGAGATTCTTTAATTCTAAAATTCTGGTGCATAGCTACCCAAAGGCTATAATCTTATCATATACTATGAAAACACGTATGCAATAGTGTAAAACGAGTAAAAATTACCATAACTAATCATACACTATGGAAACATATTCACACGAGTGTAGAGTGGGTAAAATAACTATATGAGGTCATACACTGTGAAAACACATACGAACGTACAAACGTGCAAACTAGGGTAAAATCACATAGTATTTTTTGGTGCTTTTAAAAATAACTTTACATATGTTGAAGTATTTAATACTGATATAATGAGCTAATGAAATGGTTTAAGAGAACTGAATTTAACTTTTAAAAGTTGCTTATTTAAAAAAAAAAAAATTAGTTCTGAAAATCATGTTTTTTAAATCAATCATCTGAAATAAATACCTTTTACAACTTATACTATTTACCTTAAGAAATATAAGAAACAATAATTTTATATAAACTTGAAAACTAATATAATTTAAATAAGTGCTTATTTATGAAAAGTAAGTTTTCCGCTCATAGAGTACAATTTACCGGGAGGGGGGAGGAGAATGATTGATGAGCTTCAAAAATTTAATAACAAAAAAATAATTATTTATATACTTAAATTCAAGGGGAGAAAAGAAGAATATATATATAAAAATGAGCTTCTTTTATAAGTCCTAATATGGTACTATTGGTTTGACTTTCATTAGTAGAGGGATAAACTTATTGACGGTGATATTTAACATGTCATTTCTCATAAAATTAAGACTTGGAATCCTACTTACAAAGAATTAGTGACACTTCACACATATGAGTTACTTATACAATTTAATCTATTTTAACTTGAACTGCGTACGTGAAAAAGTTTACTGATTATTGATTATGCTTGTGCATGCTATTAACTGCATCTTTGAGTGCCTATATATATTGTCATTTACGATATTTACCTTTGATATACTTACCTTCATCGTTTGTGACAAAAAGGGGAGAGATGATGCCATTTTCTTTGGCATTTCGTGAAAGTTTGTGGTAAGGCGAAGATGATAGTATTTCATGACATTTCATACTATAATGCTACCTAGCTTCTTTGAGTTTTGTTGTTTTGTGATATTAATGTTACAGTTGGTATTTTGATTAATATTAGTATTGCTGCTCAATTTAGCTATTATATTTATGAAAGTGTGTTTCAATCGTTATATTTTATGTTTTACATGCTTTTACACTAAATATTTGAGTCGTTGATTTCAAGAAACATGTGTAATAAGGAACACAAGTGACAGACATACAGTTTGAGTTTGGATAGATTAGTTTTGTTTTTATTTTCTTGACTTGTATTGTATAGTTTTGTCACAGAATATCAAAATGGGGAATTTGTTAGATATTAATTGTATTGACTATTCTTTAGACAAAATGGTTACTACAAAGAGTAGTAAAAATTAGAGAGTCTGTTGGGATGTTATATAGATGAATTAAGAGTCTTCGGATTTGAGTATGGAACATGGAGAAAGGGTTATCGGAATTACACTAGCATATCTTTAATCTAATGCTTGAGCATCCAAAATAGAATCATCATCCCTCGCCTATTGCCTGACTATCACTCGAGCGACATACATGTCGCTTACCTCACGCTAGCTTGTGTTCAAGTGACTGTGTTTCCCGAGAAACCCTAATTCGCGTTTTTTAAGAGTTTTATCTAGCCCATGCGACCCAAAACCTCAATACTATATATACCCATGCCCTACTTCGTTAAAAAGTGTGGTTGATCTTTATATTCTATCTTCATAGCATTCTTTGTAGAGAAAACAATAATTCTATATCTTGAAATCAACCAATCACAACTTGGGAAAAACATCAACATCACATAATCCAAAACACCTGCTTCCTAAACTTAATCAGGAAGGTAGTTTTTTAATAGCTTCGAAGGTTACTGAAAATTGAGGGTGTTTGCACCAGAAGCACAGGAAGAGTATCGGAATAAGGACTTCTTGGTGATCCACAAAAGATAGACAATTCTAGAAAATCAGGAGCAGGTGTGAGTGAAGCACGTTCTAGCGGGTCTTGGAGATTACAAGAATTTTATCAAGGAGTTTAGTGGGTTTTCTAGGTTGGATCATATTGTAAGTTCTTATTGTCTATCATGGAAGTCACTGGCTTTATCTCGAAGTTTTTAATCCTATGAAAAATTTTCTCCATTAACAAATCATGTAATATTAATTATTTACTGCTTTATTGACTATTGTGGTAATTCAGCATAGAATAAAATTGACTTGATTGAATAAATATCTAGAATAATTAAAAAGTAAATTGTCACTTTTAATTAGTAATCTTAATTCCGCGGTATTCACCTATTCATCTCCTCTAGGTGATTTTAGATTTGAACTAGTAACTTTCAATATTAATTCAATGTCTCAAATAGAAGAACACGAATTTACTTTAATCTTTCAAAACTAAAAAGTCAATTCCACTCAAAATTATGCCAAAAAGCAACTATTTTTCAACAAAGTGTGCAGATAAAATCCATAAATTGTGGAGCTTCGAGAACGTAAGGTTAAAGAACCAAATCGAACCTTGTAAAGAAATATTGTGTTCATTATGCATCAACTTCATAAAATTAAAGAAAAAGGCAACAAGATCATCATATGCAAAACCGTTTTTAACACCTACCTTAATTATGGGCATTTGTCTAGAGACGGATAATGTGGATGGTTGATCTCGTGGCTTGACTCAAGGTTAATTAATTGATATTAATTAATTAAATAAAAATTTAGAAGTTCCAATAATTAGTTTTAATTTAAGAATTCAATATTCTATAATTACTAGACATTAATTGTTTTTGATACAATTATAAGCTTGAAAGAAACGTAAGAATTTGTCTTATTATCTTGTTTCAAATTCTATTTTGGAGATTTTTATAACTTTCTTATGGTTTAGCTATTGTAGCAGCAAGAATGCCTCATTGATTTGGTCGCTACCGGACATGAGGGACGGCTCAACCTGTGGCCACAATTCATTTCAATTTTTTTTGTCCCAATTTTATATTTATCCTTTGTCTGTTTTTCCACCCCCGTTTTAAACACTTCAATCCAAACAAATCATTCTTCTGCAATTTTCAATCTCTATTATTTATTCTTCAATTGATAAATCTTTCTTCTCCAATTTCCAATTTCCAATCTCCTATCTCTATCATCTATTTTTCAATCAGGTATGAAATTTTAAAGTTAATCAAGTGAATTGTATTACATGGATTTTAATTTTTCATGTTCGATTTTAATTGGATTGTAAATCATAGGCATTTTTTGGAATCTGTCCAACAATTTTCCCTTTAATTTTCTATTCCTCTAATCTCTTCACTTTCTCTACAAACTCTTGGGGTCTCTGAAATCGACAGTGCTCGGCTCATAAAGATAAATTAATACGACATAGTATTACCGACGCTACTGATTTTGAACCTTTTAAATTTGTAATAATATTTTTGGTGGTAACCTTATTTTTTATTGCAAACTGATGTACTCATTTTCAATAACAATGGGACAAAACTTTGTGCTTTGAATCATCCAATTTGTGAACCTCTTCATCTAGTTTTCTTGATAATTAATTTTACATGATATATGGACTTCAAATTGTGACCATGTAATTTCAGGAAATTGTGTTTTTCTAGAGAAATGAATTTTCATTAAAAGTGTGGACTCCATTCTTACTTCCAAGTAAGCAATAATTTTCCCTAACTTGGTGATTTTGGAATTATTTATGGAATTGATTCTTATCTATCGTGATGTTTTATGTTTTATTCTGATGAAAATAGAAATACGGTATCTACTTTAATTTAATAATTAATTATAGACATAGGAATATTGGAATTGTGTATTTATGATACGATTGTTAATTGGAATAGATTATCAAAATTCTTGTTGAAATATAAATATTCATTTATTTATTAAATTTAATTTTATAATAATCATGGAGATATATTTTAAACGAAAATATGTGTTTTCAAGTGCAGAGCAAAATATTTGCAAAACAAGTATTCAAGATCAAATAGATGTTCAAAAGGAATCAAATACAAGAATAAAAGATATGTTCAGGATAAAAAAGATTTAGCACAATTTTCTCGAATCCTGGATTAAAAACTCTTATTACAAATTATAATGTTAATGTTCGAGATAAAATTCTGATGTGAACCCACGTAACAATTGAAGTTATGAAATTCACTCGAGATTGAATCACCAAAAAAAAAAAAAAAAAAAAAAAAAAAAAAAAAAAATTTTAATTTTGTTTAAAAAAAATTAAACCAAACACGTTGATCCAAGTCTCTTAGGCCTTCGACCCCAACATGAAACTTGTCACATTTTGAGTCTCAAACATGGTTTCATCAATAGTTGCCTTGACGAGCAATCTCATCGCCTCTTTTACTCACTTCGTCCTTGCTCGAGTCATCGGACCACCCTCGACTATCAATGGATCTTTCTTCGGGCTTGACATTGGACTTGACCTTCACGCTTGCGGCTCCTAGTTCACATCATCCCCTCCCTCTTTGAAATGATTCGATCTCGAATCTGTACCTGCATCAAAGAGAGAAAGATCAGACGCAATAAAAGTAGCCGAAACATTATATTCACCAAGAAGATCCAATTTGTAGGCATTGTCATTAATCCTTTCAAGGACTTGAAATGGACCATCTCCCCTTTGTTGCAAATTAGCCATTTTACAAGTGATGCATCTACTACAAACCTCAATCAACATCAATTTTCATCTTTGGCCAATAAAAATGTTTACCAATCATCTCTAAGATCTTCTTACCCCCAAAATATCTCATTAAACCCCCGCTATGTACTTCCTTCACTAACAACTCTTTCATTGAACAATTAGGAGCACAATTTATTTTTCCAAAATAGAAAACCATCATCCCAAAAGAACCTATCCACAGGCCCTTTATCACATGATTCGTATATATTAGAAAAATCCAGGTCATTAGCATACATGTTCTAAATATATTCAAATCCAAACAATTTTGCACGTAAAGAAGTTAAAGCACATACATTCTTTCTTTATAATGCATTAGCTACCATATTTTCTTGAACTTGTTATACTGAATGACGTATGAAAATGTCTCGATGAACTCCATCTATCTTGCATTCTTCAAGGACTCATGATCTGTGTAAATTACAAACTCCTTTGGTCATAGATAGTGCTGCCATGTTTTCAAAACTCGAACAAGTGCATACAACTCTTTGTCATATGTAGGATAACTGAGAATGGCCCCACTTAGCTTTTCACTGAAGTAAGTTATTGATTTTCTTTCCTGCATTAAAATAGTTTCAATACTTACCCCTGAAGCATTACATTCAATCTCAAAAGTTTTGTCAAAATTAAGAAGTGCTAAAACCGATGCCTTTTACAACCTACTTTTAATAGTATTAAATGCAAGTTCTTGTTCGATGCCCCATTTAAATCCTACATTTTTTTTTTTTTGACAACTTCCATAAGTGGTTTGACAATTGTGTTAAAGTCCTTAACAAAACACCAATAGAAACTAGCCAAACCATGAAAACTTCTTACCTCAATTATACTTTTGGGTATTGGCCATTCCTTAATAGCTTTGATATTCTCCTCATCTACTTCTATTCCTTTTGCACTAACCACACACACAAGGAAAACAATTTTCCATGCAAAATGTATACTTTTTACGTTGGGGTAAAGTTGTTCTTGTCTTAATACCGAAAGAACACATCTTAAATGCCCCGTGTACTCATTTAAGCCTTTACTATAAATCAAGATATCATCGAAGTAGACCACTACAAATTTGCTATGAATACACGTAAAACATGATTCATCAATTGCATAAATGTACTAGGTGTATTAGTAAGTCTAACTGACATAACTAACCATTCATATAGCCTATATTTAGTTTTAAAAGCAATTTTCCACTCATCTCTTTTTCTCAACATAATTTGATGATAACTACTTTTAAGATCAATTTTACTAAATATACATGTTCCATGCAATTCATCCAACATATCATCTATCCTAGGAATAGGATGATGATACTTTATCGTTATGCTGTTGATAGCCCTACAATTTACACATATTCTCCAGGTTCCATCTTCCTTTGACACAAGTAGTATCGGTACGGCACATAGACTCGTACTCTCCCTTACATACCCTCTGCTCATCAATTCCTCCACTTACCTTTGAAGCTCCTTACTCTCCTCGAAATTACTTCGATAAGCTGACCTGTTTGGAATGTCAGCTCCAAGTACGAAATCGATTTGGTGTTCAATAAAAAAGTAGCCAAACTAGGAGGGATGTGTTAAAGTCTTCAATATTGATGAGTGACTCCTTGTAGACCAACAAGGTTATTGGTTGACTCTCAGCTATGCCCTCTTCAACTCACTCCCTTTTGTAAAGAAATTCACTTTTGACATTTCTTTTCCCTCGAAAGACTCTTTTCTTTTTGTTCTTGTGTCTCTACTCTTTTTTCTTATTACCAGCCACCTCACTATTTTCTCTCGTGCTATCAATTTCTCACAATATTCTCTCTCTCTCTTCCTCATTTTTCATTTTAATTTGATCCTCATACACTTGTACCTTTGTTAATGACGCAATAGTAATAGATTTCCCGTCCTTAATAAAGCTAAACCTATTTTTATAACCATCATGTATCACATTCCTGTCATATTACCAGGGCCTACCCAACAAAATGTGCTTGGTATGCATAGGAACTATGTCACAGATCACTTCATCACAGTAGCTACCAATTGAGAAACTCATCAACACACACTTGTTCACCTTAACCTCTCTACATTCATTCAATCATTGTAGTTGGTAACGTTTAAGATGTTTTAGCATGGTTAACTCCAATTTTTCAACAAGTGTAGTGCTAGCCACATTAGTACAACTATCCCCATCAATAATCATGCTACATACCTTGATGATGTAGCATATTATATGAATATGTTTTCCCTTTGCTACTCCAAGTCATCCGCCTTGATTTTAGCACTAAGAGTCGTAACCAATAGCTCTCCCACTGTACACTCTACCTTTTCCCCATCACTAGCCTCTTCCAATTCCGGCATGTCACCATAGTCCTCTTCACTATCGCTCACCACTTCTCCATTGTCTCGTAAAATTATTACCCTTTTGTTAGAACATTTAGAAGCAATGTGTCTCGATCCTAAACACCTAAAACATTTCATGTCTTGACTCTTAGATAACTGGGATTCCCTTTAGATGTGACCTTGCTAACACTTTTCTCTTTCCCATTCAGTAGTTTAGCTTTGCTCTTCGAAACAGCCTCATTCCCTTGTTATCCCACTTCGATTTCCTAGACGGATTAGAATCCCAAGAACCTGATGGATACCTAGCTATCTCCTTCCTCTTCAATTGCCTCTCCACCTTCATAGCCACTTGTAGCGTGTTTTCAAACTCCACATAATATTGCAACTCCATTACATTAGCTATTTTCCTATTCAAACAATTCAAAAATCGAGCCATAGTGGCCTCCCTATCCTTCTCAACATTCACTCTAATCATCAATATTTTCTTCTCCTTATGATAGTCCTCCACACTTCTAGTCCCTTGGTAGATGCTTTGTAGTTTTTGAAGGTTCTGTACCCCTTCTTTCACATCTAACTCCTCTATCCCTTACTCTCCCTAAGTTGACATCCACTATTAGATCCTCATCTATACCACTACCCACATCATAATCACTTCAATTCTCCACCATAGGCTCCAACCTCCCTTGCCTTCTTACATTGGGAACTCGCCTATGTAAATTGGCAAGCACTGTGTCTTGCCCCTCCATCAACCGCTTTTGTCCATCCAACCTATCCTTCACATCTTCAAACAGTCTCTTAAATTATCATATCAACTCTTCTGACATATTGACTTGATTGTTGTTCCTAGATTATGTATTATCATCTCTGTCAGACATCCTAAATCTAAAATAATATATGTCTTACATGTATACGCTCAAGTATTACTCAATTTGACATTTTCCCTCTATTAGTCTCACCACTCTTACCTTTTCTTCACTCAATGCTTTCACCCAAGTGCTTGAAAGAACTAATCTGAACTCATCCAAGTCTTATTCTCGAAGAATTCAACTAAAATGTGAGTGAGATTTATAAATTTAGAAGACTCCAAAAAAAAAAAAAAAAGGACTTTGACACTTTGAATGAGAACTATTATTAATTCAAGAAAGAGGTTCTTGAATTTTGGATTGGACGGGACTCAAAGAATATGAATTTGTATTTGAAGTTTCATATTTTTTTTACTCAGAAATTCGATTATGAAATCAGGGAAAAAAATAAAACCTGATTTGGATGCTAAATGAGCACACAAACTATTTTTGAAGTTTTTTGGGAACTTTTATGGATTAAAGATCCAAAAGACGAAGAATGCGAAGAACACATAGAAAAAGAAAAAAAAAAAGAACTCAACAAAAAAGGGATATAGCCTTGATTTTTGGAGCCTAAACTCTGATATAAACTTACGCAAACCTATGTTGCAATTAAAGTTATAAAAACCCACACGAGGTTGAATCACAATCCAAGAAAATCAAAAAATCAAAGTTTTGAGTTTGACTCAAGAATATTGAATAAAGTAACCAACAATCGTTGACAATCTATTGACCCCTTGATTACAAGACTCGAAAACCTCACCCGGATGATTTGAACACCACAAGAACGTAATTCTTGATAAGTTC